ATGACATTGATGGCTAACTGTAGCTTGAACAACACAAACACTCAGTCCGTTTCATATATACATTTTACCTTGTTGACAGGTTTCACACTAGGAAAGATTTGGAGTTTCTAAAGGTTGTGAGAAACAGAAAAGTAAGTTATGTAGGACAAGGAAAATGGATATTACAAGGTATGTAGGTCTAAGATAAGTTTAAGTTATGACCGTGTATGTGTTAAGGTCTGAAGATATGAGAGTTTAAGTCCTAAGGTTTGAGAAAGTGATTTGTAGGTCTGATAAAAAATTTAAGGCATATGAAAAGTTGGTTTGATTTCTTTCCTTCTTTCCATGCTAACCCCTCTCCCTCACCCATAGTCAGAATATACACCCAGTCCTCCAGACACTCCCTAGGAACCCCCCTTAATTTGTTCCTTTCACGGTTTTTTCTCCTCATTCTCTCATGTCCTATTCCCTTACTAGAAAAATATGTCCACTCAAAATTGACATACATTTTTGCCTTTTTACCCTAAGAGCAGCTCCCAGGATACTCCTGCACCCCTCCTCTTTTTTTCATCAAAATTCCCCAAACCTCTCTTTGTAGGGAAAAGGGGCTGGCTAGAGAAACCCACCATCACCCTGGAGCCCAGAATTAGGGAAGGATGGCTCAGATAGGACCAGTGAAAGAAACACAGTTTAGCTCAGATAATCTCTGCCCCTGTCCAACTGACTTGTGAAATCAACCAATCACAGAGCAGGACAGTAGAATCCTGGCCCCAGGGCCCAGAACCAGGGAAAGAAAGACAGCCTGTGTTGGGGACCTGAGCCAGAGAAGTGAACACTTTATCCCCAAACCCAGAACCCAGGAAGTATGCCCTAACTCTGAGACTAGTATCAAAATAACACTTTTGGCTCCTAGAATCAGTCAGTGAAAGAAATGTGCCCTGGCCTTAGAGGTAGTGTCAAAAAGCCAAGAAAGGACAGTGAAAGAAACAGCCATCAATTTACTAACATTTTGGTGTCCAAACCCAGAGTTTTTGCAGTTTACTTATACTCTTTCCTTCACCCTCTTTGTCTAGTCCATGCCACTGTATGGGGTCCCACCTCTCATCTACATGCTACAAAAGTGGACAAAGTCAAAGCAGCATGTAGACAAGATGTGATTGTAATTGCTACCACTGATGACATCACATTGTGAGGAACTTTCTTAAATGTTAGAACCTTATCCTCATTGTCATTGTCTACTGTGGTGTTTGGGATCAATAGCAGAGCTTCAGCCACACTATGGACCTGCTCTACTCCAAGGTGACAGCCATGTCCTAAACACAGAGCTTAACTGTTTATTCTCCTCCTTTTGTTTTGTTTTTGTTTTTGTTTTGGTGCAGGGTTTGTCCTGGTCTTTCTGTGTTATCTCTTGCTCTTTTGTCTCCACAATTTAACAAAGATCCCCACTAGTAAATGAGGAAGGGCAAAGCCAGGTAGAATTTTTAGCCTGGGAAAAGGAAGGCAATTACCAGTGTATTTTATATGTTCTATCATCTTCTTCTGCAGGCTTCCTCCATAAACCTTGTAAATCTAGGGGAAATATTTGTAGATTTACATCTGTAGTAACCCAGGAAATAAATGACATCACAGAGGTACCACAAAGCTGGAGCCCTTCCTGCTTCCCCAGTTGTTTGCTTGCTTTCCTTAACTACATGCTAGTAGGTCTCATCTGTGCCGAGTTTGAATTTCACATTGAGAGCTCACTAGCTCCATCTCTAAATGGGCTTCAGGTGGACTTAGCTTAGTTTGAAAACAGTGTTTACCCTCTGCAGAAGAAGCTAAAGGTGGTTCATTTCCTGTTAATCATAAGAGACACAGGTGTGAGCCTGTTGAGCAAACAGTGACAGTCCCTGGTTGAAAGCACACATATTGGGTGGAGTAGTGAGAGGAAGGCAGTGTGCTGTGTAGATATCTTGTGCTGAAGTTAGCATGTGTAACAGGCTGCATTTGAAAATATCATTTCACATTTGTATTTCTACATATGTGATCCCTTCTCTAATGTCCATCAAATCAAGATTGTAAACAAGCGTTATTTGAAGTCAAGCTATCTAAACTCCAGCAAACCTGATGTCTCTATAGGTTTGAGGTAAGTGGTAGCTTGAATGTAATTTGCCTCCATAAACTCATAGGGAGGGGCATTATTAGGAGTTATGGCTTTGTTGGAGTGAGTATGGCCTTGTTTGAGGAAGTGTGTAATTGTGGGAATGGGCTCCTTAGTTTAAAATATGTTCAAAATGTGTTCAGTATGACACACATTTCACTTCCTGTTGCCTGTGGGTCAGTATGTGGGACTCTCAGCTTATTCTCCAGCGCCATGTCTGCCTGAGTGCTGCCATGTTGCTCCATGTTGATAATGAGTCAAACCTCTGAAACTGTAAGCTACCCCAATAAAATGTTCTCCTGAATTTAGCCTTTAGTTAATTCATTCCCCATTGGTCACTTCCTTTGGGGTTGCTAATGATAATTAATGGTTATTGCCCCTCTATATGATTCTTATCACCTCTCCATTTGACCCTGGAAGCCTGGCTTTGCACTGCCAAGGGATTACTGCTTGTAAGTGTATATAAACCGGGACTCCTGGGCACAGGGGGATGGAGAAGAGAAAAGAGAATGGAAGAACTAGATGGGTAAGAACTTGAGAGGAACAGACTGAGATGGGAAAGAACTAGATTGAAGGGCTACAAGAGAGTACTAGAGAAATGGGATGAAAGATGAAGAAGAGCCAGATGGGGAAGTACTAGCTGGGTAAGAACAAGCTGAAAAGGATCTAGATGAGGCAGAATTAAGATGAGAGAATTAAGATTGAACTTAGAGGGAGCAATATTTAAATAGAGAGAGAAATCAGGCAAGAAAGGAGCTAGACATGAGAACAGAACTGAAGCTGTGTATAAAGGATGTTACGCCAGAGGAATTAAAGCAAGTGGACTATAGAACTCGGTGTGCTGAGAGCCTATTTCCTGAAAATAGTCCTCGATGTTAGTATTTCTCTCTCCTGAGTTCCTGTGATGTATAAAATCAAGGCTGGTCCCTCTAATGTTATGTAAGAGGCCGAGGCTCTGGCAGAACCAGCCTTTTTTCTTCTTCCATGGACAGACCATATTTTCAACACTGGGCATAGAAGTCAGCTCCATTCTGTGGGTGCTGCTTAGGGAATAAGCTATGTGGGATATATACCATGTATGCAGTGTTAGTCTATGAGGCAGGAAGCTTTTGTCAATTCTTGATTCTTCCTCATGTGCTCACAAGTCAGGTGTGTTCTATGAACCTCAGGCTCACCTCTAAAGGGAAGAAGTGACCTCTCTCCAATAGCACATGGATAGGGAGAAAATGATATAATGGAGATGTAGTACATAGCACATTGTATTTTGTTCTCCTCCTTACATGTACTTTCTCATCAAGTGCATCCTTAGGCCAAATGACAAAGCAGATGAAATATCACTGCAAGGCTATAGATTGCAGCCTATGTGAGCCACTTGCTGGTTGGGGTTGCCTAGGCACTGCATTATTTCAGTGTCCTTATTTGTGACATCTATTGAGTTAGGATGAAGCCACTCTCCCTGTCATTCTCCATCAAGGGGTTATCAGAAGACTTGCTATAGCTGCACACCACTAAGCAAAGGGTGACATCTTTGTAAACTAGTTCACCCTGAGACTCAGCAGGCGCTGACCAGAGGGTGTGTGCCTTACAGTCAGGACTGTGGTTTTATGAGATCATCCACTGTGGCACCACTTGAGTAGTGACAAATTGAAACACATGAAATATTCCTGATCTGGGATCTGAATTAGCATGTCTGTAGCTGCTAAAATATGATGCTTTGTTTTCACAGGGGACATGGAGTGAGGGTGTGGCTGACATTGGGGTAGCTTTCCCATCACTACTATTAGCATCTAACGGTGAGGAACATTTTGACACCTTGGAGAGCTGATGATGAATGGAAATTCTGGCTGAGTTTGAGCAATTCTGACTCAGCATTTCTGATGCATCAGGCTTCTCAATGGAGATAGAGTCAGATGTGGGTTCCATGTCAGATCTCTGCAACAACTGACTATGTGATCACAGTCAGGGCACTGGAACACAGAGCTCACATCTCAAAAAGATTGGATTGGGTAGTGTGACTGTCCTTCATGCTGAAAAATTCTCAGAATCTAGACCTAGAAAGAAGACTTCAGGCCTCTGTCAAGAAATTCAAAGTGAGGGTCCTGTTGCCTTAGCTGGGGATAGGAGGTCATCTAGTTGGAGACTCCCATAGACATAAGTCTACATTGCTCAGAACCTTCATGTCCAAGAGAGTTGGTAGCTGACACAAAACGTTTTCAGACAGATCTAAGGCAAAGGCCTCGCTTGGTGCCAGCATCTAGACCAGGTGAGAGATTCCACAGGAAATGTGGGCACATCGTGAATGTTAGCAGTGTGCTATGGATGAAGAGGAAATGAGAAAAACAAGCCACCATGCCCTGGCCTTGTTGCTTTCTGCTGTGGTTTGTTTTTCCTCTTGGGAGGAGGAGACAGACATCTTGGGTAAAGAGCCCCTGCTGGCCTGCTTACTGCCATCTCTGTTGACAGCTAGAGTGGAAGCTGGCATACACTCAGCCCCAGGTTGATTGGGGAGAAAGAGAAGATTTAATCAGTAGGGGAAGTATACTCTGGAGGCAGTAGGCCAAGTCTGACTCTGTCACTGAACAAGGCAGACAGCTCTCAGGGTTTTATGGAGGCACTAGTCTGAGACAGATTGAGAAAGGTAGAGCATTGCTGTTTAGGCAGACAGGGTATGGATTTACTCCCATTTACCAGAAGGGGGACCTCTAGCAAAGAGCATGTCTTCTCCCCTCCTCTGCTTCCTTGGTCCACAGCTGGGGTAAAGTCACCCTATGTACATGGGGGATCACTTGTAGACTTGCTTCTTCCTTGTTGCTCACAGAATCTTGGGCACCTTTTGACCTGTTGGAGATATCAGGGATGAGGAGGACAATGCAGTACTTACCGAGCACATAGAGCACTGTGCCTCCTCCAGACCGCTCCTTGTCAGAGTCTAATCTGTCGATCTTCACATAGTAGTAGGTACCAGCGTCAGCAGGTGTGACATTACTGATGCGGATGGAAAAGTCCAGGTTGTTTCTCTTTGTAGTATCTGTAACATTTGTGATTCTGGGGAACTTCTCTCCTGTGAAACTATATATTACGTGTCGACTCTGCCCTGTACCCCTGAACCACTTCATGGGTCCCAAAGGGAGCAGGGACGTCACAGTGCAGTTCAGAGTGGCTGAGTCTCCAGCATCAACAGAAACTGATTTCTCAGGCTGAATCACCTTCAGCTCCCATGTAGCTGCTCCTGCAGGAAACATCAGTTAGTGCTCATCATGATGGGAACCCACAGGCTTTTCAAGGTTGTGATCAAACACTGTTTCTTACTGGAGCTCAGCATGATGTGATCATGGTCTCCTCATTTGGACCTCTTAACAAAAGAATGTAAAGACAAGGAAAGTGAGTCACAGAGACACTGAGAACTTTGCAGTATTTTGATTAAAGTCCTAATTCTTTTTGGAATTCTCATGTTTCATCCAGTATCTGTTTGGTTTTCATTTTCTGTGCACATGGCAAATGGCACTTGTTTTTTTTTTTTTTTTTTTTTT